ATATCAAAAAAGTACTCCAGAGTGTTGTTCAGCATGGGGGTGAGTAGAAAATGAAGGCTAATCATGTTTTGGGTGTACTATTCCTTTAAATTAGATGAGATAAAAGGTTAATAATTCCCTCCTGTTTCCATTAAACGATCTGATAAAAAATGAAGGAAGATGAAATAATAAAGATAATAGAGGGATTAAGCTAAAGCGCTGATGTCTATGAAGGCATAAATGAAAGTTAAAAACGCGCGTGTTGTACGGTACTGCATCCTGCGTGCGTTTTTCACAGTACCTGCCAGTGTGCTGCGGCTGCAGGACGTCCAGCAGGAGCTGCTTGATGTCACCAGGAGACAGCTGGTAGATGTCCTGAGGAGGCATGTCTCCAGCTCGGATCTTCAGCTCATGTTTCATGGCCTGGACAATCCACCTTCATATCCACATAAAAACGCCATGTTAGCCACTACAGATGTAGCTCCATAAATGACCAGTTTATGAATACAATCAAAGCTCAGGAGATCAGAACTGATCCTGTTCTTTGTTTTCAAAAATGTTAAAACCAACAGAAGTAAACCCCATCCACACATTAAGTCCATTTTGGCATCAAACCAGCTTCTTTGAGACGTTTAAAAGATACTAATTTAAAACAGATCCTGCTGAGCTTCGAGTGGAGCCCCTGGTGGATGTTGCTGGTTCAACTCCCTGATGGTTTAGATCCAAACTATCTGATACTAGTTTCTGTATCTGCAGCGGTGATTTAATCCTACTTCTCTAACCCAGGGGGCGCCACAAGGCTGCACACATGAACCTCTTTCTGTCCCATCCTTCTCTCTACGTTCTATGTTTACTCCCAGTTTAATAGTGGGGTATCCGACGAAAAAGAAATATCCTTTACAGTTTGTTTGCTCCAAAACAAAAATATACTTTATCTTAATACAAAACTGAGACAGGTTTATAGCCTTTTATCTTGATTATTGAATTTTTTTTGGAACTAGTCTTCTAATGCTAATTTTAAAGTGGTATAAAATAATAGAACTACATTTTTACACACACAAAAAAAAGGAAAATTTTTGGTTTATTTCTGAAATTCCTTGTTTTTAAATTATCTTGTTTTTATTCAGTCAATCAATATTTACTAAGTTCCACACAGAAGAACCAAACGGGGAGAAG